AGAGAGAGAGAGAGAGAGAGAGAGAGAGAGAGAGAGAGAGAGAGAGAAACAGACAGAGAGGCAGACAGAGAGAGAGACAGACACAGACAGAGAGAGAGAGAGACAGATACAAATACAGATACAGAGAGACAGATTCCAGGCAGGCCCCCTCACTCTCACCCACCTCCATCTCTCCATTCTTCCCTCCCATTCCATATGATCCCACATTACCCTTTCCACCTGATGCTCACCATAAGTCCCTCCACTATCCCAAAATTATCATGGATGACCTTGGCTATGGGGGCCAGGCAATTGGTGGTACAGGAGGCATTACTAGAACAGAGAAGGATGAAGTAGAGTGGGGTGGGGAAAGACATCAGAATCTATGGCTTTGACAAAACTAAATGTGGGTGGAGAATGGCTAAAGAAGTTGTAGTATGTAAATGTAAGAGGATGTCATTGCCTCATAAGAAATGATGACTATGACGAATTCAGAGAAACATGAGAGGATTTATATAAACTGATGCAAAATGTGTACAGTAAGCAGAACCAGGAAAACCATATATATATATATATATATATATATATATATATATGGACTACAGCGATGTAAATGGAAAGAGCTTCTCTTGAACAAATGAAACTGAACATGAATTATAATGACCCCAAAGAAGTAGGTGAAAGTGTATCTTTGTCCCTTTTTTGTAGAGGTGAGGAGCTAAAGATAGGGAACATTATATGTACCGTTAGACTAGGTTGACATGTTGGTTAGTTGTGCTGAACTTTTTCTTTTGCTCTTCATTTTTTTTTCTTAATTACAAGGAATGAATCACTTGGGGATAGGGATATGTTCAGAAATGAAGATTATGTCGAAACAAAATATATCAATAGAAATAAAATCTTCAAAAGCAACAAAGAGGGACAAGCTTTAGGGGATGGCTCAAGATGCCAAGGTCGGAAGGACCATATCAGAAGCATAGCCACTGGAAAAGCCCCACCCAGATCACCCAGTTACCTGACAACAGTCATGCTGTTGGGGTTATAGGTGTTCTCATTAACACCCATGACAAACATGGGAGCGTCAGGGGAGGGAGCAGAGATCACCACTCGACGAGCTCCAGCCTTGATGTGGGCCTAGTGGAGAGGCCAGTATAATTATCATGCCCACATTCCAGAGGACCCCCCCAACCTCAACATCTGGTTCGGAGCCCCCTCATTCACTCCACATGCCCTTTTTCTCACCGAGGCTTTTGCTGTCGTGAGGTTCAATCCAGTGGATTCTACCACATACAAGGCTCCAGCAGTCTTCCAGGGGATTTCTTCAGGTCGCATGCTAGGGGAAGGGGAGGAGAATATTCCATGAACCCCTGGTTCCACCCTTCCCCTCCAATACCATTAATTTTCTTTCTTCTATAACCCTATTACTTCTCTTGCCCAGTTCCCTTGTCTGGAGCCATGAAGGATCAATCAAAACCCCCACCCAAGTTGCACACACCATTTTCTGACGTCTTTGTTTCCCTTCCTTCAAAAATCTAGCTCAGCTCATTCCTGATTAGAAGCCTCCCTGGTTAACTGTGTTGGAGCCAGCAGTTAAGAGTGCTAGAATTAAAATCGGAAAGTCCTGAGTTTCAAATCCTGCCTCAGACACTTACTACTTGGGTGGACCCCTGGGGCAAATCACTTAACCTGAGTCTCAGGTATCCATCTGTAAAATGGAGATAATTACAGCTAATGTCTTCCTCTCTGCATGCTTCTTATATGTACCTATCTATGCCCACAGGCAGCTATGTGGTGCAGTGGATAGAGTGTCAGGCCTGAAATCAGGAAGGCTCATCTCCTGAGTTCAAATCTGGCCCCAGACATTTCCTAACTGTGTGATCCTGGGCAAGTCATTTCACCCCGTTAGCTTCAGTTTATTTTTCAGCCATCTCTGACTCTTCATGACTCCATATGAAGTTTTTTTTTTTTTGTTTTTTGGCAAAGACACTGGAAGAATTGGCTATTTCCTTCTCCAGCTCATTTTATAGATGAGGAAACAGAGGCAGACAAGGTTAAGTGACTTGCCCAGGGTCACACAACTAGTAAGTATCTGAGGCCAGATTTGAACTCAGGAAGATGAATCTTCTTGACTCCAGGCCCAGCACTTTATCCACTATGGTGCCACCAAATGAGCTGGCATGGTTACCTGGAACATAGCAAATGCTTAATAAAAAAACTTGTTGATTGATTTATTAGCCTATGTTCCATTGGCAGTACAGGAGAATGATCATTTCTGTCATTTAGAGGCCATTAGGGCTGAAAAGACCATTAGGGCTCATCTAAGATCTCTAAGATCTTTGACTTGGCTAAGAATTAGATGCGACAGGTCAAAATCCTAGAAGGTCAGATTTTTGACTCAATGTAAGAAATGGCTTTGAAACAATGAAGGGAGTCCAAAAGTGAAATGGGCTGCCTTGGGAGATGCTGGATGCCCCTTTCAATAGGGTACCTCATATTGGCTATATTGTAGAAAGGATCTCAGGTAGACATGGGTTAGACTAGGTGGCCATGCACGTCCCTCTTCACCCTTAAATGGTGTGAGTAACAGATCCACTCTCTTGATTTGAACTTAAATGGCCCAGGGATCCGAT